AATACGAGATATCGAGTCTTAATTTTTTTTTTTACATTTTCATGAAGTTACATACATACCTAGATTCTTCTATTGGACCTCGAAAAAATATTAAACCACTTCCTTGCTTTGAATCTTTGAAAAACAACCATCTACAGAGCAATATCTAATAGCACAGCTAATAGACATATTGTCAGAGAATTGTCACATAAATAAAAAATTCACAGTCCTTCGCAAAAATGCAACCGAGGAGAACATTGAAAATGCCGAAGCAAACTTCAACGCTAATGCTTGTGATTATTGTGAGCTTTGAGATCCGCTAAAATTCAACCCTTTCCAGATTTTCCAGAATTTTTCCGACCCAATCCAGAAATTTCCATGCGTTTTCCAGACGTTTCCAGAAATTTCCAGACTTTATCCAGATTTTTCCAGACTTAGCTAGACTTTATTCAGACTTGTTTAAATTTCTCCAGACCGTATCAACCTTTTTCCAGACGTTTCCAGAAATTTCCAGACTTTCCCAGACTTTATCCAGACTTTTATAGACTTAGCTGGATTTTTCCAAACTTTATCCAGACTTGTCTAGATTTCTCCAGACCTAATAGAGCCTTTTCCAGACGTTTCTAGAAATTTTCTGGCTTTTCCAGACTATATCCAAACGTATCCAGACTTTTCCAGATTAAGCTAGACTTTATCCAGACTTGTCTAGATTTCTCCAGACCTTATCCAGCCCTTTCCTGACCTCTCCGACTTCTTCCAAACAATTTCCCGACTTCAAATACACTTTTCCTTACTTTATCCAGACTTGTCTGAATTTCTCCAGACCTTATCAAGCCTTTTCCAGACGTTACCAGAAATTTCCAGGCTTTTCCAGACTTTATCCAGACTTTTGTAGACTTGGCTGGATTTTTCCAGACTTTATTCAGACTTGTCTAGATTTCTCCAGACCTAATAGAGCCTTTTCCAGACGTTTCCAGAAATTTTTTTTCTCTTTTCCAGACTTTATCCAAACTTATCCAGACTTTTCCAGACTTAGCTAGACTTTATCCAGACTAATCCTGACTTTATCCAGACTTGTCTGAATTTCTCCAGACCTTATTAAGCCTTTTCCAGACGTTTCCAGAAATTTCCAGGCTTTTCCAGACTTTATCCAGACTTTTCTAGACTTGGCTAGATTTTTCCAGACTTTATCCAGACTTTTCTAGATTTCTCCAGACCTAATAGAGCCTTTTCCAGACGTTTCCAGAAATTTTTTTTCTCTTTTCCAGACTTTATCCAAACTTATCCAGACTTTTCCAGACTTAGCTAGACTTTATCCAGACTAATCCTGACTTTATCCAGACTTGTCTGAATTTCTCCAGACCTTATCAAGCCTTTTCCAGACGTTACCAGAAATTTCCAGGCTTTTCCAGACTTTATCCAGACTTTTGTAGACTTGGCTGGATTTTTCCAGACTTTATCCAGACTTGTCTAGATTTCTCCAGACCTTATCTAGCCCTTTGACCTCTCCGGACTTCTTCCAAACACTTTCCCGACTTCAAATACACTTTTCCAGACCTTACGCAGACTTGTCTGAATTTCTCCAGACCTTATCCAGCCTTTTCCCGACGTTTCCAGAAATTTCCAGGCTTTTCCAGACTTTATCCTGACTTTTCCAGACTTTGGTAGATTTTTCCAGACTTTATCCAGACTTGTCTAGATTTCACCAGACCTAATAGAGCCTTTCCAGACGTTTCCAGAAATTTTCTGGCTTTTCCAGACTTTATCCAAACTTATCCAAACTTTTGCAGACTTAATCCAGCCTTATCCAGACTTTATCCAGACTTGTCTAAATTTCTCCAGACCTTATCCAGCCCTTTGCTGACCTCTCCGGACTTCTTCCAAACACCCGACTTCAATTTTGTATAAGTAATTGCCCATTTATGAGTCGGCATTTAATGTATGCAAAAACGGTAACATCCTTGAACCAACATAAACATATCGATTTTATTTTCAGATTGCCTTATTTGCATAATTAAAGCGGTGACAACCTTGAACTAACATCTCGATTTTATATTCAGATAGTATGAAGCTTTGAGGTACAAAATCAGAGTGGAAAGGGTCGTCAAAAACCAAACTGATGGTATCACAGTCAGATTCACGCACTGATCTCAAAAATAAATGGATAAACAATCGTTCGACTTGATTGGCTAAAATTGTGCAAAAATTTGGGTCATCAATATTCTACGAACAGTTGTGCAACGGAACAGCTTAACGCCTGCGCAGTGTCTTACTTTCGAACAACTGTTCTAAATTTTGAAATATCCTCCATTTCCATTTAGGACTGGTGCGTTAATTTCTTGAAGCAGTGTATATGAAATTTTTTGTAGGTCTTCACATGCTCGTTAACAAATGTTGATTCTAAATTTTTGCAAAAACGAAAAGAAATGGTGAGCGGCCTTTTGTTAATAAATTTTTAAATATCCTTCATTTCCATTGGCTATATTTTGCGCACGCCCATTACATGTATCTACTGCGCATGCTCACAGCTGTACCAGTTGTTTACATTATGACTTCGTAAATTAGCAGCATTAGAAGCTTTCTTTGTTTATCCATTTATTTTTCAGATTAGTGGATTCACGTCGCAAAGTAGCGTTTTTATTCTATTTACTTGAAGAAGTTAAATAAATACTGAATAATTACAAATATAATATGTAGGTATGTCTCTTTCTGAATCGCAATTTTGAACATTTTAATGAAATTGCCGCAGAAATTGCATTGTATCACGCTCAATCTTGGTAGTCGGTGAATGAATACCACTCACCTATTTAAAATAATTATTTGAGCAGTCAAAATTATCACGGATAATAATCTCTCATAGTATGGATACTTTTAAAGTTAAATGAAGAAGGATCATTTATTTCGATTCTACTCAGACACAAATTGTCTGCTCCTAGGTATTTGCTTTAGCATAGTTATCCATATTGTAATATCAAAAAGTTGAAAGAATAGTTATATAGTACCTACCTAAGAAAAAATCTACCTCAATGGCTAAAAATAACAACATAAAATCTTCTGTTTCTTAAAGGTGTCCCAAAATGAATGCACATTTAATTGCGCAGCTTCAACCATACATTCTGGATCTTTTGACAGAAATCATGACTTTCTGCATATGTGAGAGATAATTTCATGGATGCTAAATTGAATCTAGTTTAAAGTTGTGAGTTTGTTAGCATCGGAACAAACATCAACGAATAGATAATGATGGTTATTGTCGTTTCAGCATAATATAGCGAATATTCATAAACGACCTTTTTGTTACAGTACTGACTATTAGTTACTGTCGCTAATATCACAACTGACGGTTGGCAAATTTTTGGGAGCCTTCACAAACAAAAGGTAAAATAAAATACCTACTGCCATGCTAACGTTTATAAAATCTACATATATAAGAACAACAAAAAAAAATCTTTCAAAATCCATGCATTTTCATTTACTTAAGCCTAGTTTCTTTGTAAGCGGATATCACAATTTTATTGGCGAATTATTTTTCAAACTTATATTGGTTCGCCACAATTAATAAAACGTTGCGAATTAATCGAATTTTTTCAGAGTGACTCACTGACACCAGGATACTTAAAATATATCTTTCTACATCTTTTCCATAAGTAGCAAACGTAGTTTGAAATATTGCATGTTCATTAAAAAATATAGGTAAGTAGCCTATTAACAACCTAACCAAAAGTCAAACTTGGGGCTAATCAGTTGGAGCAAAATAGTAAGTAAGTATAAAGTTTCCTGATAATATCTGCAATGGCAAAATACAAGCTCCAAGAAATTCACGCAACACTTAATATTTTTTGGAAAATATGGCCACTTCATCCAAACCATGAAATATTTCATTAAATTTTGAAGTTCATTATTTTAACAACGGAAAAAATTTTGTTCATGCTTTTGGTAAATATTTCTTCTTTTTTTTGTTATGTCTGTTGCACCTAGAAGAAATAGGTTAGTTAACTGGGGGAAAGCGAGTTTTTTGGACATCTTTCGGAGCTCCGCCTGTCTGCTCCCCAGACTCTTGTCAGATTTTGCCTGCACAGTACATACTTGCGATAGACGAGTTTGTGTCCTAAAAAGACCAGAACGACACGCAGAATTCAGTGAAGATTCGGTTTTGATGTGGGGAGGAATTTTGTTGTCGTCCCGCACGGACTCAGTGATGTTGAATAATAGAAACCAAAAGGCTGACTGCGACATACTGCACATCCTCGAAGAACATGTTATGCTATTTGCCATTGATGTCGCTCGACGTCCCTCAGCCCGAGTAGGTACCTACCTAAAGTTTGGAATTACTATTGAATGTTGGCATTGAGAATATAGCTTGGCCAGCAAGGGCCCCTATCTATATTCAATAGAACATGTCTGAGATATACTCAGGATTCGATTTCCAACTAATCCAATCCAACCTAATAGCTTGGTGGAAGTGGGAATACTTCTGTCTCAAATTTGAAATTGACTGGATCTATATAATGAAATCTTATTTCGAGCATCGATGCCAGGACACGATTGAAAGTAGAACTTGAAGTATCCGATATTAGACATTATTATAACAAGGAATTAGGAATACATTTGTAGGAAATGGTTCGTTTCATCATAAGCAATTTAATCACACTTATTGAAGTAAATATAATATTTCATTTCTTAATTTTGAAAAATAAAATAACTACAAATTTAGGACTGGTGCGTTAATTTCTTGAAGCAGTGTATATGAAATTTTTTGTAGGTTTTCACATGCTCGTTAACAAATGTTGTTACTAAATTTTTGCAAAAACGAACAGAAATGGTGAGCGGCCTTTTGTTAATAAATTAACTTGAATATATTTTCTTATCCTCGAAATGTCAATTGATCACTCGTAAACTGCCTCAAAAATCTCCGCTTGCTTGGAAAAAAGACTTTTGTAGTATTTCTCATTAACATTCAATCAAATAGTAATTTCATAAGGAGAATTATAAATTGAAAAAAAAAAAATAAAAATTAATACCTGTTTCGCAATAACACATGCTCTATTAACAGCTTCCGATTCTACTTCTTCGGGCCTTGAAAGTTCGTGGCCTTCTGGACCTACAATTCCTTTGGATAAAAGCCGTTCAATATTTTTGACAATGATGGCACCATTTTCCGCATGCACTTGCGCTACAGCACCTAGTTTTTGACATTGTTCGAACGCACTATATAGCTCGGCATCGTTCAACATAAAACTGTAAGCCATAAACATCTTAAAGGAGTTTATACCTGGAATAAAATGTATAATAATAGTATCCTTATGAGTAAATTCTTGGGTTATAGGACAAGGACCATGACTGAATAAAAACTATTTCATTTTGGCAACGTTTCGACTTTAATCGTCTAGCAAGAATTAACATTATAACAGGCAATCAAAACAGAAAATTGAACTAACATTAAATTAAAATCAAACCCCACTCATGATAAATAGATCGGAAAAACAAAATTGTTGAGTGAGTGGGGTTTGATTTAATGTTAATTCTCACCAATGCCTTATTTTAGGGCTTGAAAAAGACATGATTAAAGTCGAAATGTTGGCAAAATGAAATAGTTTTCATTAATTCATGATCTTTGTCCTATAACCCAAGAATTTATTCACAATATTTATTGAGGACACAAAATGGCTCAAAAATAGTAGGTATCCTTTTCAATTGTGTCTTCAATGATATATTAGAGGAGAAAATTGTCGGGATGGAACAATCAATCTAAAAACAAATTAATAATTGCCTGATGATGATTCAGAATTAAGACTAGAACGTTGGCAATTATTTGAAAGTTTGGTTTGATTAATTATCCTATTCCGTCAATTTTCTTCTGTGGATAAATATAATTATATTTCATCTGGCTTGACGTAACCTCTAACAAATTATGTTGCTTTATTAAATATATTTACCATGTTCTTTACAAAGTATTTCCATTTCTCTTTTAACTTGTTCGGACCAATGAGGTAGACACATATGGAGAGCATAGTCACAGCACACTTTATCATCAGCCTTTTGACGGTAGTTGTAAAAGCAGTCTAAAATTGATTCTCCTGGTTTTGGAAATGCAAAATCAACTGGAATAGAAAGTTTGATTAATATATTTCGACATATGCATTGAGCGTAAGGGCGATTCGTTATGAGGATAGAAGCTTCCCTTTGGGAAAATATAAACATAAAAAACATCTAAGGCAGGTGACTCACTGGAGAAATAAGTTTCATGAAACTTGTTGCAAGAAACAGGAAATTTGTTTTATCATCACACGACACATACATTCAAATGAGGCGGAGCACACTGGCGTTTCTGAAACAGGAGAGCAGAAATTGTTTCGCCTCATTATGATAATGAAACAAATTTCCTGTTTTTTGCAACAAGTTTTATGGAACTCAATTCTCCAGTATGTCACCCCACTAACGTATATTTTTCTACTGGAAACTAGCATTAAACATAGTGACAATTCAAGCAGTTTCCACCAGGGTCATATTATAAAAATCGTTCAAATAATATATGCCCTGACTACGTTTTCCTAGGACGACAATACTGAAACCTTCTACGATAGTATTTCCAAAGTCGCATTGAAGAAAATCATGCTTACTTTAGTGAAAACGAAAACAGATACCTAAAAAATAAACAGTGACCGCAGAAGAGCAAAAAATCAGTACGGAAATAAGAGCGAAAATGGAATAAAGAAAACTCTATGCTTAGTGACAAAAACGCAAACCAAAAAACTTTAAAAAAAGAAATGAATAGAGGCATTGCTAAGCCCATTGAGGGTGACATAAAGTAATATAAAAACGACGAAACACGACAACATGACGTTGATGTCACTAAAAAGAGCGATTGGGAAAACATGGGGACTGAAACCGTCAGTTCTACAATGGATATACACTACGTTTGTAAGACCAATGATAACAAATGGTGCACTTGTATGGTGGCCTAAAGTAAACCAAAGACAAGCAAAACTGGAGCTAACCAAAATCCAGAGACTTGTATGTCTATGTATTACCGGTACACAGAAAAGCACACCAGTATAGAAAGGATCCTGAAGCTTCCACCAATTGAGCTTATCGTCAAAGCGGAGGCTAGAATCGGGTCATATCGTCTCCAGCTGAACGAAACCTGGAACCCAAAACCAAATGGACATGTGGCTATCACTAAAATAATCACAAACCCAATTTTAACCATGGGTAGCGACCGACGATATGATGTCGAAAAAATCCCTCGAAAAACCCTTCGCCATCGAGGTTGTCTCAGTAGAAAATACTGGGGCAATATCTAAACAACAAATTGTCTGGTTTACAGACGGCTCCAAAACAGAAACTGGAACTGGCGCTGGAATATATGGACAAACTCCCAGATGCAACATCAGTCAACCTCTGGGATAATACACTACTGTATTCCAAACAGAAATATGTGCCATCGACTCCTGTCTGAGAGAAAACCTATAAGGAGGGGATACACAGGTAAAAACATCATTATCTGCTCAGACGGTCAAGCGTCGATCAAAGCACTTTTGACAAAACACAATTGAAGGAAATGAAAAAGCAGATGCTCTGGTAAGAGAAGGATGGGCAACCAGTTATACTGGTCCTGAACACTGATCTCAAAAATAAATGGATAAACAATCGTACGGCTTGATTGGCTAAATTTGTGCGAAAATTTGGGGTCAATATTCTACGAACAGTTGTGCAAGGGAACAGCCTAACGCCTGTGCAGTGTCTTATCTTTCGAAAAACTGTTCTAAATTTAAAAATTACTTCATTTTCATTGGCACGCACAGGACATGTACCTATCTACTGCGCACGCTCACAGCTGTTTTAGTTGTTTACATTATGACCTCGTAAATTAGCAATATTAGAAGCATTCTTTGTTTATCCATTTATTTTCGAGATCAGTGGTCCTGAAGCGGCAATTGGCACCACAAAATTATCGGTAAGAACAAAAATAAACCAATGAGTGTATAGACAACACAAAACCTACTGGCAAACTTTTCCGAAGCTCAGACACAGTAAGCTAACAACAGCCATCACCTAAACTTACTGAAAAAATCCTACAACCAAACAGAAATCAAATCAGGCAAAACTGGACTTACAAGTGGACACTTTAGCCTGAGAAACATCCTCCCAGAACAACCCATTTGCAGACTTTGTGACGAGGAGGATGAAACCGCCACCCACATAATCTTTGAATGTGAGGCTTTTTCCTGTTCGAGATACAGACAGATAGGTCCGGAAGACCCTATCTCTAAACTCACCAAAAGTAACACAGTGAAGAGGCTCCTAAGCTTAATCAAGGTCGCGAAACTTTAAGCTGACTAAACAGACGAACAGGACAATACAATAAGCCGACGGCTGCAGTGTTGGGGCCACCTAACCCGCCCTGTTCATTCCGCGTCTCACCCAACCAACCAACCATGTTGTATAAACCAATTCGATGGTTACGTCACAAATGACCACCTTCAATGCCTGAAAATTCTTATGGAAGAGACTGTTGAGTAAAATCGCCCTTAGCTCTAGTATAAATTTTTTTAGAACGTCGTTAGGCCTTCGATATAGAGGAGTGACTAATTTGTTGAATGTAACATCGATCGCAGGTACTACAATATTGTCAAAGATATCTACTTGAAGGTAACAACAACAGCCACACTCCACTCCACAACCAATAACATGAAGTTCAACCGAGGAGTCAGGCAAACACTGTCCGAAATTGCTTATCATCACCGTCCTTGAACACGCTTTTGAACTGTCGGCGGAGGGTGCTGCAGTCGAAGGAAAAAAATGCATTACCTCCGTTTTAGAAATGATATCGTCATAATCTTAGAAAACCTTGCAGAAGTCAAAGATTTGGAATTCACCTAAATATTAATATGACAAAGATGATGACTAAAATGGTGCCCTGCCAACTAGTTCAGAATAAATATGTGTGTGGAAATAGGGGACTGTATACCTGGGACATGAAATCCGAATAAATAGATATAACCATAACCAATCATGTGAATTAATTGGAAGAATAACCTTAGGCTTAGGATATAAGGATGGGCGGCACTTGGAAAAATGAAGGACATTTCCAAGGCGGCAGTTCGCGTGAGCTTAAAGAGTAAAGTATTGAATCAATGTATCTTACCGGTCTTGTCGTACGGTGCAGAGATATTTATTCTAAATCGGTGAGAAATTTAAGGGTTGCACAAAGAAAAACGGAAAGGTCAATGCTTGGCTCCAGTCTTAGAGACCGGGTGAGAAATAAGGAGATTGGTCACCACTATTGTTGACGTCATTGCGAGAGCGAAACTGGAATCGACTGGACATGTTGGTTAGATAGAGGAATGGCTGGTGAAGAGATGGAGATCACGAGCCGAAAAGCGAAAGCGGAGTTGTAGAGGCCGACCGCCTAGCCGATGAAGCGATGACCTGAAAATGATCAACTTGAATTAGATTGCGACTGCCCAAAAAAGGAAGACATGGAAACAGCTTGAAAATGCTTTTGCTCAGCAGTTCATCCCGGAAGCTGTATGATGATGATCAATGGCAGATATGCTATCCTATGTGTGACTTTCGAACGTACTAAAGCTATCAGAATTTTTTCAAAGTGGTAAAATTTAACTGAAAACTTGATTCAAAACAAGCTCTAGATACAGTTGACCGTGCCAAGATCAATGATTTCGATCCCTTGGATACGTGTTTCAATGTATATGTATGTCATATTTGGCGAAAAATTTGATTTCGCATTTATTTTGAAATTATTTGCTTTAAATCTGTGTTAGGATACAAATGGAATGACAGTTATTCACCTAACACTTGCGGAAAGTGGTCCTCCGCGGCACGAGACGGCAGTTGCACGAAGCGGAGTTCGGGCTAGCCGTTGAGGCCGGTAAAGTCACTTTTCGCACGTGTTAGGTTTTTCCTTCGGAGCATATAATTTTTGGAATAAAATTCTAATTAGAAGAAAAAATGCATGAAAAGTAGCGAACATTGATTGTTAAAAACAATAAATATTTCTATTTTATACATTACGCGAAGGCAAACACATTAGGTTTTTTTTTCTTCAAATTTCAATACAGTGCGGTAAAGAATCTTTACCGCACTGAGAAAAAAAGGTATTGGAAATCAAGAAAAAAATAAATTGCAACTGGTGGCTCAATATAATGTTTATGTCGAAATTATTTTGAGAAGAATTTGGTTAAACGTCTGGTCTTCGTAGCATTTATCAAAATCTGCTGCGTTGCATTTTGCTTTTCCCATAGCAACAAATCAATATTATAATTCGCGTCTATAGATACCACGTAGAAACATACCCCGCGATCTTAAATGGTCCACTTGGTTCGATAATCAACTTGTTTCATGCCCGGTAGAAACGCTACCAATTGACTTGCGCATGCGTTGTTGATCGTATCTCCAAGATATCTTCTGGAGAAGAAGGGTGACGTCATTTTGAAGTTTTAAAACATGACATAAACTCATGAACATGACAAATGATGACAATATGATAAACCCGAAAACGGGTATGTTTCGTATTGTTAATAGAGCTTTATCTCTGTTTATTCGTGGACTTTCACAGTGTTATGTTTAGTGTAAAGATTATAATTGTTATTTAATTCTGTGTTGTTAAGCGTTGACTTTGTCGGCAAGTTGCGAGACGTCAACATAACTTTCTTCTTTCTGTGTAATAAACCGTTATTTGTTGAATTTGTATCAAATTGTGTCTTTATCATAAAATAAATAAAAATCAAATCTAAAAAAGATAGAAGTAAGCTGCTACAATGGGATGAGCCTATTTCATAGACAACAGATAGCACCACAAATCGTTGTTCGAGCCGTATAATGCGAGTGTCCATTCTATCCCCACTATATTCTATGTATAGAAAGATCAGAGATTCGTGTTTTGTGGTTCAAATTTTCCATTTTTTGGTATAAAATTAATTCTTGAGAGATGGAGACCTTCGATGAAGAAATATTCGAAGCAGCGAATGCAGCCAGCAGTCAGATCTTGGTTCCACAAAAATCCCAGGAAAAATACAATGAAGAATATGAACAATTACAAACGTATTATTAAAAGAGTGCGGTAAAGAAGTTTTACAGCACTAAGTGCGGTAAAGAATTTTTACAGCACTGAGTGGGGTAAAGTAATCCCTACGGCACGCCAATGAGTGCGGTAAGTGTGGTAAAGTGTACTTTACCGCACGCGAGTAGGAAAATGGTATTTGAAGTAGTACCTAGGCTTTTTATTTTATTTACTTACTTATCATGGTGGTGCCACCGGAAACAGCGGCTTTAGTACCCTGATAAAAGTCGTCAACGGATTTGGCACCCATAAATTCAAATTCGAAATGAGTGTGGGGATCGATGCCTCCCGGTAAAACTAACTTTCCCCGAGCGTCGATAGTTCTTGTGCCGCCTGGGATGATAAGATTCTTTCCGATTTGTTTAATTATTCCATCTTCAATGTACACGTCTTCTTCTAAAACGCCATCTTCATTTACGATCTTACCATGTCTGATAACTAGCCTGTTTTGAGAGCTCTGAAACAAGATTACATTATTTATATTTAAAAATTGTCGCTGAACAATTGAATAGTGAATGTTTTTTGTATTTTGTATCACTAATAGCTACTACCTATTGATTCGATAGAACAGCAATATTATTATTTTTTGAAAATATTTTTTGTAACTCACAGTTGTTGTAATTCACGACATATCCTAAAGTATGAAGTGAGGAGTCTTGAAACTCTAGCGATATTTCAGAACGCTAATTTGGCAAACTAGAGGAGGGAATTTATTTTGGAATATGGAAAAAAAAATCATAAAGCTAAAAGTACCACCCCTAAAAGTAAGTTTTGTTTGTTTTCTACCAATAGCTCGCTAGTGGTCCGTTTTTTTGGAAATTTTCAAGAGTAGGTACTTAAAGAAAATAAAATTGCCTACAAATTGATATATTATACGATGTTAGTTTATCCAGTGACGTACAAGCAGGCGCGCAAAACCTGAAGGCACCAGATAATTCATTAATTTGCCGTTATAGGCGAAAGACATTCTCCAACCCCAAGTTGTGGGAGGTAATGAATAGCCCAACCAATTTTGTACTTGCAGGCATGGGAGCTGCAGCATCTGACATAGGTGGTAAACATGCTAAGTAATTCAAATTTTTTATTCAAACTTTGCCTTGGTGTGCTATTAAAAAATTTAACAAACCGAAGATCATCCAAGGTTTTAACTGCTGTGCCAGTACCATAGAGAGCCAATAAAAATTGTTCACCAACAGCGGTGATATCACGTTTGTGTGCTTTGGAATCCAAAAATACCATTACCTACTTTATGATTTAAGTCTGACTGTTTCTCAAGTACACTGTAGGTAGGCAACTATCTTTTTTTTCAAAAAGGAGAAGTATAGTGCATGTCACATCCGGAAATTGCGTGACAGAACAAAATCGTATTCTTGCTATTCTTATATGCCATCCTATAATTTTTTATGAACATTGGTGATTTTGTTGGGCTTTGCAGAACTACCAGGCCTTAACAAATAAACCTCTTCTTGTGTATTTTTGTGTAATAATAAAATCATTTCTTGAGTTAGAGAAAGTCGGGTTCACCTTTATTTGGCCTTTTGCAGCCGTTTTAGGAGATTTTAGCCCTGACTGACCGGAAATTATATTGTGGTGTGTGCCTATACCGGGTGCCAACGAGATCACTTTCCGGCTGCCATTTTTTTATTAATCTATCGATATCAACGAAACTTGGTAGGGTTGATATTCTAACCAAACGCCATTTTTATGCATTATTGACAAGATTTGTTGACTTCCGGTTTTACCGGAAATGACCGGAACTTTTAATTTTAAAATGGCACACCCTGTAGATTGTCTGTTTTTCGGATTCTACAGACCGTGTGACGTCCTAATGCACCACTTTTGAATCAAGTTTTGTCCAAGTTTTGTTTTTAAATTAAATTTTAATTTTTTAACTAGAGTGCCATGATCATCCTAAAATGACTCTACATACTTTACTTAGTTTCAGAAAAATACAAACTGCATTTTATCTTTGTAAACTTTTTTGATAGAGGGCTGTAAACTTCATTATTTTAGTATTTTTGCCCTAGCTCAAAAACTAGAATAGGAACATATCACTTTCATAATATTACTAAATGCAGTATTTAGAAGCGAATCCAACGGTATAATACACTACGACATTTTTCTTAATTTTCGTTCAAATATTTTTGTTCTATTAGGTAGGTTATTATTTTTTTTCTTCTTAAAATTTAATTTGAAGACGAAATTTGAACAAAGTTCGATTTAAAAGTGGTACCTACATTAGGACGTAAAACGATCTGTAGAATCGAAAAAACAAAAAATATACAGGGTGTGCCATTCAAAAATCGAAAGTTTCGGTAATTTCCATTGAAACCGGAGGTCAGGAAAACTTGTCATGAATGCACAAAAATGGTATTTCGTTAGAGTATCAAGCCTACCAAGTTTCGTTGATATCAATGAACAAATAAAAAAATGGCAGCCGGAAAGTAATCTCGTGGGCACCCGGTATATTAAGCCTGTATGCGTTTGAGTTGCCTTTCTGCATCCTAATTTGACCGTTTCACGAGATTTGTTCCCAATTAAGAGGTGCCGGTGAGTTGAATTTTGTCCTACTCCATTTTGTTCTGTTCAATGTGGACTGAAAAATTATTTTATTAAGTTATTGGATCATTTTCTCAATTCCTTGCAGCAGGAGTCGACTTGCATCCGATCCATCCATTCCATCTAATTTTGGAGGATTTAGATATTTTTATTATATTTTTATTATAGAATTATTATAGAAGAAAAACCCTGTAACAAGTAATTAATCTCTTGGTTAAGTTTTTGGGTAAACCACGTTTTAAATTTTGTACCTTGACCTGGAATTTGTTGACTTATTCCATGCTCATGTTATTTATGTCTTACGCCAACTAACGGAAAAAACGTTCTTTTAAATCGAGATATTTTTTTTAATTTTCAACTTTGACGTAGGTACTATAACTTTTTTTGGTTAGTCTTACGACGATAATAACAAAAATTGTCAAGCATTTATCGGTCTACCATTCATTCCTCCTAGTATTTTTCAATATTCCTGCTTGTTATGAGTTATTTTTAAAATTTTTGAAAAAATTACAATTTTCTCGGAAAAAAAAACAATTCTTGGAGAGTTCCACCAAGTGGAGGAGTGGGGACTTTTGGTATGTAGAGTAGAGAAGTATTCAGAACTCAAGTTAAATCAAGAGTACAAAAACCCGGCGAGAGTCTACAAGAATTCGAATCGGAAGTTAAAAGGCTAGTGAGTTTGGCGTTTCCTGCAGCTGGGGAAGACATGCAGGAATGGATGGCAGTATCTGCATTTATTGATGGTCTCAGAGATTCGAAGATCCAGGAAAACCTGAGAATGTCCAAGTTCAGACAAAGTAGCGAAGCTCTTGTCCGAGCATTAGAACTAGAAGCAATCTTTGGTGCCTCGCGACCCAGAATACGAGCAGTGTCCATTGAGGACCCAAAAGATAAACAGTTGTCAAAAGAGGATGGTAGCTTCGAAACTAAAATGAGTAATTTCATGGAGAGAATGGAGAAACTGTTACTAGAAGATAGAAAAATGGGAAACGATTCCAGACAAACACCAACACCGAGAAACCGAGTAAAATGCTACCGGTGCCAAAAGCTTGGACACATGCAATGGGATTGTAGACTAAGGATGTCCTTTCCATCTGGGGATCATTCTCAACGCTTTTCCAGGTCTAGAGACGCTAGCCCTAATAACAAACAGGAACCAACTAGTACGGAAGGGAGGATGCTGGCTAGTAATGACAAAGCCCCCAGAGTTGTGTACATAAAATCATTGGGCAGTCATTATAGAGGATTAAAATTCGAAGGACAAATCAATGGAGAATTGAAAACCATCACTTTTGATACGGGTGCTGAAGTTTCCATAATTAAAAGAACATTAATCAAGTCTCGGGCAATCCAACCGCTCACTAGAAACCTGTCACTACGAACAGTCACCGGCGAATCTGCACCAGTTCAAGGAGAAGCGATGGTTGAGCTCACTTTTGGATCTACCACCTTCAGGCACAGAACATTAGTCGCCGATATAGAAGATGATTTTATTTTGGGAATGGATTTGATCGGCCAACATGGTTTCTCCTTTGATCCTTCCATGAACATCCTTAAATTTGGTAATGAAGAAATTGTCCTAACAACACAACAAGAATCCGATGCCGTTAAGATCTTGGCCACAACCCCAGTGAGGATTCCTGGAAGTACTGAGAAGATCATTTGCGGAAGATTAGAAACAAACCCTGGGTGATGCGTTGGGCTAACACGTAATTTCATTGGAGATAAACCAGAAAGATTTCTTGTTGGAAAGACTCTAGTAAGAACAAATGGAGACATTATGATAAGAATTGCCAATGTTTCTTCCGAAACAGTAAGAATAAAAGAAGGAGACATTATTGGAGCTCTCGAACCAGTGAAGCAAATATCGAACTGTGACCTACCAGATAAGCGACATTTTGTGAAATCCAAATTGGATACAGACACCTTGTTGCAGACTTTGGCGAAATCATGGAAACATCTCGATCCAGATAGACTTCAAGAAGCCACAGATTTCATTTTGAAAGAAGCAGACGTATTTGTGATGGACAATCAAACCGGACGAACCAGCTTAATTCAACACAAAATTGATACTGGATTGGCACACCTAATTAGACAACCACCACGACGTATGCCAGTAGCTAAGCAACAGGAAGTGGAAAACCAAATCGATAAAATGCTTCAAGAGGGAATCATTGAAGAGTCAAATAGTCCATGGTCCGCGCCAGTAGTATTGGTTACGAAGAAAGATGGGAGTCTTAGATTTTGTGTGGACTACCGAAAGCTTAATGACGTCATCAAGAAGGACAGCTTCCCTCTCCCAAGAATAGACGATACACTAACAACTCTATCGGGCTCCAAATGGTTTTCCACCTTGGATCTCAAAAGTGGATACTGGCAATACATGACGATGACAAAGAGAAAACTGCCTTCAGTACCGGAAGCGGGCTATACCAGTTTAATGTAATGCCTTTCGGATTGTGTAATGCTCCAGCTACGTTTGAGCGACTGATGCATCTTGTTTTGCGTGGCCTTACATGGAGAACTTGCCTGGTATATTTGGATGATGTCATGATTATGGGAAATTCGTTCCAAGAACATCTCAATAACCTGAAAGAAGTTTTTGACCGCTTCCGGAATGCCAACTTGAAACTCAATCCAAATAAGTGTTTCCTATTTCAAAAGAAAGTGAAATTCTTAGGTCACGTGGTATCTGAAGAGGGCATACAAGTTATGGAAGGAAAAATAGATGCTGTCAGGGACTGGCCAAAACCACGCGACAAACATGAACTAAGGAGTTTTCTAGGATTATGTTCTTATTATCGAAGATTTGTGGAAGGATTCGCCAATATAGCTGCTCCAATTCATCAATTAACAGAAGCAAAATCAACATTCAATTGGACCCAAGAATGCGATTCC